GGTTTCAAATTTCCAAAGAGCAGCCCACGAACTCCCACAACCATTAGGAATTGACAGTTGGGACTGGGGCTGATAGGGGGAGGGAGGAACTAGTGTGTAGCTGCAAGTATCTGGCGCCCGGTTCTGGGCGAAGAGGTTCTCCCCCTCTCCCTTTTTTTTTTCCATGCCCTGCTCAGTCAATCCCCTGGGTTTCCAGGGCAATCAATGCTGGCAGGAGCCTCCCACAAAATTCAGTCTGTAAATGGGACGCTGGACCCACTTTCCAGCAGGTGATGCTCCCCACCAATAGATGGAGCCTCTCCCCAGGTGCTAGTGGTGTCTCCTCTTATCAGCATCACTAACACTGGTGGGGGCGATGTTTAAAAAAAAAAAAACAAAAAAAAACTCGCACAACCTCCAGACCTGTCGTCAGTTCGTTTCAACCATAGGATCTGGGGGTAGCAGGCAGTTTTGAGATTTCTTCCTGATCTCCGTTGCTCCCATGAAAGATGCACCGTCTCCCGTTTTACAAACACAGGACAATGATATGTCGTCCATAAGACGAATTCCCACAACGAGATTACGGCGTCTGCCCAAAGACTCAAGAAAAAGGAACTCCGTGAAAACACACATAATACATGCCAGAGGCGGACTCGTACTACTTCCCATAGGAATACCCAGGGTCTGTTTCAGCACGATCTCCGAAGCTTCTGTGTACGTACGAGTGATGTTGAAACACACGACATTACACGTCTTCAAATGAGATCCCGCTGTATGTCTTCAGAATGAGGCAGAATGATGGCAGCTTGCGGCACAGCTTCTGTGTGGGACATGAGGAAATAATGTACTAGGCTATATTCCAACTGAGGTAGGCCAGTCCGTGTCCTTTTTTTCCTTTTGGGGGTTGGTACGATTTAGGCATGGTTGTCCTTCGGGACATCTGTTAAAATTGGAATCATACAGAGAAAGAAGAACAGCATGGCCCCTGCGCAAGGATGACACGCACAAAACGAGAAATGGTCCCCCCATCCCCCCTCCCCCCCCAAAAAAAAAAAAAAAAAAAAAAAAAAAAAAGAGGTAGAAATGGCAAGATGGGTGTACCAACTGAGGTAGGTAGGCCAGTTGGAGTCCTTTTTTTTTATTTTTTATAATAAACTAAGCTATATATATTCTTCTCTCAAATATTCCTCACACTACCTAACTACCTGACTAAACCTGCAGAGAAGGAACTACCAGCGCAAGCATCTATCGAACGGATTTTAACCCCCAGGGCAAGCCTCTATCCCCGCGCAAGGGATGGGAGGACCTACCAAGACTCCAAGACCAACCAGGGGGGAGGGCAAGCCAACCATATCAGCTGGTGAACACCAAACACGCAGCAGGCCACCTTGGGGAATTGCACCCACAACCACCTGAGGGCCACTTACGCGCAAAACCAGCTGAGCGAGCCCGCTGGCCATGCAGTTGATAACTTGGTGTCCATTGTTTGCAATGGATGTCTCCTAATTCTTCTTATCCTGCAAACATCTGAGAAATGGAAACTTCCTACCCTAATTTATGTTTTTATTTTATTTAGACTATTTTATTATTCTTTAAAATTTGGACCATTTCTCCCTTGCGCAGGGGCCATGCTAATCTTCTCTGTATCGTTCCAATTTTAACGGATGTCCCGAAGGACATTCCTACCCTAATTTCCGTTTTGCACTTTTGATTCTTTTGAAGTTTGAACCCATTAACCAAAAGGAGCGAGAGCAGGTTAACGGAGGCCTAAATTTTCAGACAATTTCTCATGCCATTTATAGCAAAACGGTAACCCAAGGGTCAGTTTAACCAAACTTGCCAAGAATTCGTAGAGCGGAGAGTCGGAGACTATATACTAACCGATTGCAAAAAAACAGAACGAGAGGAGGGGGGGCGGTGGGGAGAGGAAACCTATAAAACAGCAAGGCAAAAGTGCACTTTCATGCAAATTTCACCAACATTCCAATTTCAGAAATATTAGAAATATCAGCAGAGGAATTTCCAATGCTTCAAATGAGACCAAACCTAGAGCACAGCAACCTTGGACCAAAATAAAAACAGGAAAATAAAATTAAAAATTAAAAAGCATGAAATTTGACCCCCTAGCCCTAATTTCAGTTTCGATTCGTTTGAACCCATTGACCAAGGAGCTTAAAGTGGGGGTCCCTGTTAACCGCTTGTGTCTCGGCCCTCATTTTACATCTAAATCACTCTCTCCCATCCCTGATCTGGCGCGTTGAACAAATATGAATCTGTAATGATATAATCTATAGATTCTATACACAATACATATATGAAAAAATATATATATATATATATAGTCTGTGACACTATATAGTATTATATACTATATAATATATAATATATATAGATACATGGTACTTATCTGTCAACTAAGGGAATGCACTTTGTGACTAGGAAGATTTTCATGACCGGCCGGTCACCCGGGCATTATGCCCGGGGGGTCTGATGCCCGGGATACCCAGTCATGGGTAAAAAAAATAGAGAAAAAAAATAAATAAAAAAAATGGCAGTGGGGGTTTTCCGCGCTCTTGGAGAGGAGCCCAAATCCGGGCTCTTTTCTTCTTTTGAGTGTTGGCTTTAAAGGGGAAGGAAGGGTGGTATAAAGTAGTTTTTAAGGGGCTAAAGGGGTTTAAAGGGGTGTGCCTTTGAAACGGTTTTCACCTTTTAGCAGTGGCGGATGCAGTACCCAGGGTTCGATCCCTAGACCTCACCTTACCCATGTACAGTATCTGTGTAGACCCCGAGAATTGAACCTGTGACCTGTGTATTCGTAGGCAGTTGGTAGGCCTGTCGTAGGTCTATAGGCAGCAGGGGTTGGATCTGTAGGTCTATAGCGTAGGAGTCTTAGTGAGTTCCGGAAGCTTAGCTGTAGACCGTCTAGAAGGTAGGCAAATGGGCAAGTGGTCAAGTGGTGAGGCAAGTGGTGGACTAAACCGCAGTGCAACAGCAGTGCAACGTCGGTAGGATAGCGGTAAGTCCACAGTCAGTCAGCGGAAGGTCCAGTCAGTCCCAGTCCGGTCCAGCAAGTACCACAGGGGGACTGTGAGCACCAAGGGTCGATGGCAAAGGGCAGACCAACGAGTTTCTGAAGTAAAAATCAAGAGGCAGCGCCCAGCCATTCATTCATTCCTGCGTGAACCATGCGGAAGCGCTGCCACAGCGACTTGTGCAAGGAGGTCTGCAGATGAGCCCGGAGGACGCACTGGAGGCAGCCATAGCTGCCATAGCTGTAGTTAGTAGTGAGTGTGGGTGGGTGCTCGAGTGTTAGAGTGATGCGTGYGGGATATCCAGGGTGATCCAGTGTACGTGAACAGTGAGATGTTTGGGCGCTGAAGTCGCCATAGCCAATTAAGAGTGAACTCGTGTCTGAAAGCCATATCTCCGAGTTTTGAGTGGGCGCATGTCTCCAGTATGCTGCGTTGCTGTTTACATGCATGAAAAGTGTGTTTGAGAACGAGTCTGATTGCATTGGTATCGGAGCTGGTACCCGCTATTCCATGCGCGCCGTCGTAGGCAGGGCCTGATGCGCCATAGCCGAGGTGGCAGTCGAAGGAGATAGTCCGCCATAGCGGACCTGAGATTGAAGAAGCCGCCGTGCACCTGCAAGAAGACCACGACGAAGAAGAAGACCGAGA